TGACCTGATGCAGCAGTTTTTCCATTTCCTTCCATAACTGTCACTACTGTAAACAGATACAAAATCAACTTATTAATTTGCACTTTACCTGTTCAGAGTTTATAAACATTAACCAATTAATTCTCTCAACACCCTTGGGCCAGATGGAGGTAAGCATTCCTAGGACTTAAAATAACCTACTTGCTTCTAATGAGTTTAAAGCTTTCCCTGCCAAGTAGTGGGGGAAAGTCAATGATATTAACTTCTCCAGAACCTGAGATTTCATTAAATACAAGTTTCTAGTCTTTAGAGTTGCTAATGTAAATTTATTCAGTGCAGTTTTCCTAAGTGCTCACCACTGCTGCAGCTAGTAACCTTCTCAAGTTCAAAGTCTTATTTTCATGGCTGCTATTCTGCAGCTCTGAAACTGATCAAAATAAGGTGTACCATTCTGCTGTTGCATGCAATTGCTTTGAGCAACAGAAGAAACATGCACTGCACTTAATCACTGCAGACACCTATATGCTGAAAGAAGCTCTGGGAGGGCTAACAGAGAGAAAGCGCTTTCTCCATTCTAGACACCTACTAACCAAGGCAGATACGAGAGACAGGGCACCACTTAGGCAGGGTTCAAGGACTGTGCCCAAGCAGGAATTCTAGCAGCTCGTTGGGAACTGGAGTTCTCACCAGCGTTTGGGCCCAGACAGCAAGGCATCCCCTGTTTTATACCTGCTAGCCAGAGGAGGAGATTTCATAAGCCTTTGAGTCCTGATTATCCCCATTTTACAAACTGTGAAAATGAGGCACAGAAAGCAACCAAGACTATGAGGGAGTTGAGTGACAGAACTAAGATTGTTTCTTCTACAAAACTGTTCCTCATAGGGAAGAATATAGCTTAAGACCTCACTGAACTCAGTGAGAAATTATTCTTTTATCCATATTCTGCACATCTCCTATATGACACCATAATGACTTATATCCAGCATGAAGCCTCCTCCCCAAAAAATTCTCCTGATCTAACCAGCTTTTTTTTATGTGAAAGTTTGTCTAGCAAATGGCAGTTCTAACTAATGAGGAAACTACTCTGCTCACTAGAACTATAGTCTGAATTCCTCTCTATGAGAAGTGAGTTTATTTAAGACCCAGTTCTACTTAATAAATTAATTGTACTATAAGTCTATTGAGACCTTTCATATTCTATCTTTCTGTCTTTTAGAAGGGTATTACAACCTAAGAATTTTCTAATTGTTGTTATTGTTGCTCATGTTTTCCTTGCAAGGACAATGTGGCCTAGTAGACTAAAAATAAGACTAGTAGCTCCAAAACTCTAATGCCCACTCTGATATCTACTGTTTGGTCTTAGAAAAAGTCACTTAATCTGTATACCTCAGTTGCTTCAGATACAAAATGGGGGAGGGACTGCAAAGATTAGTGCATCTAAAACCCTTGGGGGGATGTAAAGTACTATATAGGCAATATGTGAAACAGACTTTTATGTTTTTAAAGGGTATTGAGATCCTCACTAATAAAAGTATTTTTGCTTAATGTATTGAGCTGGTGCACAAATTGAAGAATTAGACCATGAACATGTTGGGAAAACTCATGCCTAAAGCCCCAGAACAGCAAGATACTTAGATAAATGCCTAACTTTAACAATGTGAATACTCCCATTGGGCCTACACATGCTTAAAGTCAGGCACAGGCTTATGTACCTTGCTGAAATGGGAATTAATAGAGGAGCACAGCTTTGTAGTTAAGGCACTGCACTGAAACTCCAATTCTCACCCAGACTCACTGCAAGACTTTGTCTACACACAAACCTGCACCAATTTAGGTGCTTTTGAACTTAGATAAACCACATTCTCATTTCAGTTTAAGAGTGGCTTCTGCTAATTCAACTTGTCAATAAGGAAGCTAACCTAATCTACACTAATATTACATATACAAAAATGATGCTAAAAAAACATTATTAAAGTTGCAAAGTTAAGCATTCAAAAGTTAAGAAATGTCTTTTTATGAATATTCCTTATGATACAGTCTTTAATTATATGATTTCCACAGGATACCTGACTCAGTGCATAAAATTGATGGTGCTCTATTCAATATATTGTTTTCTCCTCACTATTCAATGTGGCCAGCCACATGCCTTATTTACTGCTCACTGTTCAGACCCTGCTCTGAAGACAGAATTATTAATTTTCTCATGGGCTTTTCTATAGAAGTCACGACAATAGCATCCGAGTGCTTCACAAATCTTATTTTCACAACACCCCTGTTTCATGGAGTAGTATTATTCCCATTCTACAGATGGGGAACAGAAGCACTGAGAGATTAAGGTAAAAAATATCCACTAATTATAGGTGCCGAATCAGGCTGTCTTCACTAGAAACACTGCAGCAGCACAGCTATAGTGCTTCAGCGTATACTCTCACTAGAGTGACAGGAGGGGTTCTCCCATCATTGTAGTTAATCCACCTCCCCAACAGGCAGTAGCAAGGCTGGTGGAAGAATTCTTCTATCGACCTAGCGCTATCTACACCAGCGGCTAAGTTGACTTGGCTAAGTTGCTCAGCAGTGTGAATTTTTCACACTCCTGAGGAATGTACCTTTTTAGTACAGACCTGGCCTTAGAGAGAGAATTTTTCAGAGTACTTTGCAATATAACACTTTGCATGTTCGAAATACAGTTCCCATTGACTTCGGTTGCAGCTGTGACTGCTCAGCACTTCTGCAAATCAGACCCCAGTCTCAAGTCAGGCACCCAGAAAAAGATGAACACACATATAATGATAAAGTATTCCTGAGGGAATTCTGCACCAATGCGCATGTGCAGAATTTATGTCCCCTGCAGATTTCTTTGCTTCCTCCTCTTTGCTATCCCCACAACACCCAGACACCCCCCTGCTGAGTCCCAACCACCTTCACCTGGATTCCCTTGCAGAGTCCCATTACCGTTGTATCCAGATCCCCCCCTGCACCCAGATCCCCCACTGAGCCACCCACACCCAGACAGTCCCACACAGAACCCTCTCAACCCACACCTGGATCCCCCCATACTAAGCCTCTCCACACTTGGATCCTGCCTTGCTGAGCCCGCCTGCCCATACCTGATACAGAGTGGAAGGGCAGTAAGGTGTTTCGGGGGCAGAGCCAGTCTTTGCGCTGTGTCAGGGTTGTGTGGAGCCTCACCGTTGAGTCCGTGCCCTCCCGTGATCTCCCACCTCTGTACAGCCAGTGGCCTGTGCTCCCCTGTGCCACGCTGGAGCCTCCACATTTATTTGACAAATAAAATTCGTGGTATTTTGCAGAATTTTAAAATATTGAGCACAGAATTTTTAATTTTTTGGTGCAGAATGCCCTCAGGAGTACTTGTGAAATGCTTGGTTTCAGTGACTTTCCCAACATCACATAAGGACTCTTAAGCAGAGCCAGGGATAGAATCCAGTTTCCCAAGGCAACACTGAACTGTCTTAACCATTAAATCATTGTGACACAGGGACCTCCTGGTTCCAACTGTCTGAGGGCATAGGGGTACATAAAGATCTGGTATCTTCATACTAGTTTGTCAATGTGCGTCACGTAAAGTCTCTACTGACAGCCTGTGTCACACTGGTCATCATAATCCTTGCAAAATGTATTATGGATAATATGTAAGGAGTTATATATATATACTGCAAATTACGTTCTTGAGAATTGAGACTTGTCACCAGGTAACAAACAAGTTTCTTTCAGGCAAAAGATGTTTATCTGACCGGCTATATGTAAATTGAGTATTGTATGATTCACAAAGGATGCCTAGTTACACTCTGAGCCCAGTGCTAAGAAAGGAACCATAAAATCTTCAAGAGGGGGATTTACAGGCAGAAATAAACCTAGGCAATTTTGTTCTCCAGTCCTCAAGTTTGTAGTCCCAGTGAAAGTCTCTTTGTCCAGCCAAGCCCAGTTCCCTTCCCTATCTGATCTGTCTCTCACCTTCCCACCTGGCCTTGGTTTACCCCCCATTTTCTCCCACCCCACTGTCTCCCAGTCCCAGTCTCCCTCCTCAGGCTCTTGGTCCGGTTTCATTGCTACCTCTGACCCAGTCTCTTTGCCCAGCCACTTAGGGTGTCAAGAGAGCAAATGTGAAAAATCGGGGGGGGGGGAGGGGTAATAGGAGCCTATATAAGAAAAAGACCCCAAAATCAGGACATTTGGTCACCCTACAGCCACTCCAGTTCTTCCCCCATACCCTGGCTCCTTGTCAGATCTGTCTGACCTTCCTTTCCCTGCTACCCCTCACTGGCTCCCCAATCCCATCTGTGACGTGGGAATAATAAAACTTCCTTCTCTCACAGGGATGTCACAAGGATGAATGCACACATTTGGGAGGCACTCATAGAGGGGGGACGGTAGCTCAGCATCACAGAAAGGCTTAGCAGAGTTGCCAGCTCTCACCATACATTGAGCCCTTCCTCCCGGATTCATGAGATTCCATGAGAAGTCTGGCTTTTATAGCAGTATAACAATGTCCCTTAGAGATGTGATCTGGTTTTTAACTAGCACACCTCTATCAGCACCACGCCTCACCGGGTCGGACGCGGTCATCCCGGTATTAAAGCACCTTACACCAGGCCAGCTCACCCCCCTAACACATTTATGGCGTATCACTGCGACCACACTGGGCGGGTTGTGGCCCTGGCAACAGCACTGGGGTAGTTGATGCACCACAGCTGGGACATGCAGACAAGGCTTTCGCTTCGCTGCTGAGCAGTAAACGCCTAACCCCCCCCCCCAGGCAAGCACAGAAAACCCCGTGCCCGGGGGGGCGCCCCCAGCCCAGCCCCCGAGACCCCGCCCCCCACGGTGCGCTTTAAATCCTGCCATGGGCAAGACAAACTGGGGGGGTTGCGGAACGCAGGGGGGCTCACAGGGCTCTTACCCCTTGGCCCTGCCGGCGCGGCGCTGGGGGGCAGCAGCTGCCGCCCCCCTCCAGAGACCGCGTCTCTGCCCTGAAGCCGGGGTGGGGGGGGATCGGCCCTGGAATGGCGCCAGGGTCCCTGGGGCGCGGGGGGAGGCTGGGCTGGGCTGGAGGGCGCAGGGGGCTAATGACCGGCTTGTGCTGCGCCCGCAGAGCCCGTGGCCTGGCCCCGCACTGCTTCCCGTGGTTAAGGTCCCCCCCAGCTCACCCGGCCGCGCCGCCTCCCAGCTCCGCTCGCCGCCGCCGCCGCCGCTACAGCTCCCCCCGGCTCCCCTCCGCTCGCCGCCGCCGGCGCCTGCGCAGCTTCCCCGGCTACTTCCGGGCCGGGGCCCGGCACCGCCCCCACCCAGTGGCCCAGGAGTCGCCGCTGCTGCCCCCTCCCGGGTTGGTGTGCGCAGGGTCCTCGCAGAGACCCGCTGCCCTCGGTTGTGGGACCCCGCAACATCGCCCCACAGCCCCCCAAATCATATAACCCCCAAACCACCCCCACAGCCCCATCGGATTCTGCTCTCTCACTGCCCTACAGCCCCCAACCCCTCCTCCCACCAAACACCAACCTCTTGTTCCCCAGACCACCTCCACAATCCCACAGCCCCACCGGATACCGTCTCCTCCTAGCTCCCCACCTCCCACGAAACGCTGGGTCTCACACCATACCATAGATCCAACAGATTCCACCTCCTCCCATCACCCTATAGCCCCACCAAATACTGCCCTCTCTCAGCACTGGTGGCCCCACCAGATCATGTGCTTTGCCCCCAAGTGCTCTCACACCACCCAGTAGCTCCACTGAAGGCCACCTCCTGACACTGTTCCTGTACCCCATCATTGTTGCCCTGCAAGCTTGGCTTGACTACTGTCTCACTGGTCTTTCTTTCAGTGTCACACAAATGGCCCCACACTCTGTTCCGTGTCCTTCAATTAACTACCCTATTTCCCTCAGAATCTAACCCTCTTTTCATTTTAATCCCCAATATTACCAATGCACCGAAGAAATAAAAATTTAGTTTTGACTGGATTTCCAAACAAAAAAAACCAAAACAGATACCCCAGATGGCCTGAGGAAAGAGAGCAAATTTAAGGGTAACAGTTGGGCCTGCAACTTTCATACAAGTTTCCCTATGAAAGCAAATAATTCTCATTTAATTTTACTGAAATGTGGGCTGAGGAGGCATGTAGCATCAAGAACAAGTTCTCCAGTATGGGGAATTGATCAAGAAAACAAACACCTAAATATACAACCGCTATCAACATTTCTCACATCTTGCCCCATTGAGACTGAATCATTGATCCTGGTCAAGATCAAGAGAGGTTGTAATGAGGTTGGGATCAGAGCTTAACTGTACTTGAATTCATAAAGTCTTAGTTATCTTGTCCTCCAGTAGGATTGGTAAGTGCAGATATCTGCTTCTGTGTGGAGCCCTATTAAAGCCACTGGGGCAGTTTGGAGACACAGGTGTTCCCCCTTATGGATCAGTATGCAGGATTAGGACCTAATAAATTGCATTTCTGGTGATAGCTTCCAGCAACTGCTCCTACTGTGAACTTTGTAAGTGTTAGGAGAGATAGAAATGTTTTCAGTACTGTTTCAGAAAGCAAAGTTGTAAGCACCCTTTGATGTGGTATTGAAAATAGTTTTTTCTTCTCTTCCCTGGCACTTAAACCATTTTTGTATCAGGTCAGGGAAAGTACTTGCTGAAAACCACTGTTGGCAACTCAACTCAGTATTGTAAAAAGGCTTTAATCTTGACACTGTCAAGGAGTATAGTCAAAGTCTGAGAATGATACTTTAGATCATAACTTGCAGATTTTCAAACCCCAGCTGTATGACCTGATACAATAGTTTCTGACACCTTTTATAGCCCCCAAAGGAGGTACATAACAAATTAGTGAAGTTGAAAGCTTGAAATAACATAGATTTCTTTTCTTTAAAAGAGTGAAGATTTCTCCAACCTCAGATTCAAGGTTTTGCTTTTCTGATAACGAAATTTACAAGAAGAAGCGGTGAGATAAGTGAGTCTTGCTGGGATGGAGGTAAACTTGGATTTTAAACCTCATAAAAGACAGGGTGGTTGTTGTTGTTGTTTTTTTTTTTTTTGGTAGTAGTAGTGCTCCAAACATGCTAAGTGCTGTACAAACACAAGATGACAAAATTTCAGCCCAGCAGGCCTAACAGTTGAGACTTATGTTATGTATATCAGGCGGAGAGTTAATTTTTCATTTGAATATATATTTTGACATGAATTTAGTATTTGTAAAAGGTACCAGATTGACAGCTCTGAATCCTGCACTCCTATTTATTTATATCCACAGAACAATTCAGCACAGACTGGAGTGCTTCACCATTTTAAAGTTTAATTCTAGCACCCAGGGATTAATACAGTGAGACTGCACTAATAGCCATCTGAAGTCACTGCTTTTTAAATCTGGAGATGATACTGCTGCAAAAAAATCCCTCTTCCCAACTAATAGGGTTATAATTTATAATTTGCTTTTAATCAAAAAGTCTTAGGTATAAATGGTTGTAAATTGCTTCAAAACTTTATAGTTGTCACCCTGGCTGTACTTATTTTTTGGGATAGGGGGCTTGTGGAGACGCGTAGCCACAACAAAAAAGACTCATTTACTACATTTACATTAATATGTTACTGTTTCATCCATAAAAACAGAATCCCAAGACAGAACTGAATGAAATCACCATAAGACCTTCCCAGTGCCCTAAAGTAAACATGGATGTAAGTATATGTTTCTAGTTACATTTACCGGATTTAATTTGGTATCATATACATATTCTCTTTTTTGTGGAAATTTAAAGAATAATAATGTAGTCTGGAATAAGCGAGGTGAGGTGCTGTGTACTACTAGGCTATGATCTTGGGGATATTTTGGTTGGGTGGCAGTCTACTAGTGAATAGCTTCTTCCTTTTTCCAGACTGTCATCACCTTACTCTGTGTAGTCTCTTACCATGACATTTGCCTTCAACCACCTCCCACTGTGTTGCTTTGAGGAACAGACATCCATATATGCAGCTCCTCCTATATGAAATGTTCTCTCCCCCCTATGAATTGTCCTCACTTCAGTGCTGCATCCAACATACTGTGGTCCTTGTGTACTTCCCTTCCCATTAGTTCTCTTCTCTTCACCAACCTTCCCACAGATTGGGAGAATCATAGGTGACCATCTGTAGCTAATACTTTGTTTGTTTAATAAACCAGTTAGTTTTAAATGCAAAACATGTTTTGATAAACTTATTTTTCTCCCCCTTATGTATTCAGCATAGTTAAGATAGTTTTATTTAATGCAAAAAATTTAAAATGCTATTTTTGTGCATTTGTAATTGAATTCCAGGTCAGGGAAAGTACTTGCATTTCCTCCAACTGCAGGTTGACACAAATCACAAGTAAAAAATTAATTATAATCTAGTAAATAATAAATGTCATTTACCATTTTAAAATATAATAAAAATGTAGAAGCTAAGACTCTTAATAAATGTATGCTAAGCTATATAATTGCTTAAATAAATGTGTATAGATATAGTGAATCTATTTGACTAGCAATAAGGAGTACCAAATTTAGTGTAAAGGCTATATTTATGTGCAAATCAATATGTTTTAATGTTCACCAATCAATGAGAATCAACCTTTCCTTAGGAAAATAATTAAAAAATACAAATGTGAAACAAAATTAAATTCAATTATTTAAATCAAGGTATTCTGTTTGCTGATTTAAATCATAGTTAAAATTCATGATTTATGGAATCATAGAAATGTTGCACTGGAAGAGATCTCAAGAGGTCATCTAGTCCATCCCTCCATGCTGATGCAGGACCAAGTATACCTAGACCAGTGATACTCAGACCTCAGTAGTTCAGAAGTCAAATTAGAGATCAACATTATCCAAAAGAGCCACAGTAGTGTGAATTCATTGTTTCATTTACTATATATATATATATATATATAT